GCTCCTCCGCCTCGCTCTGCAGCTTGTCGTCCAGCTCTGCACCGCCGCCTCGCGCCGATCAGCCACACGAACAGGGGAGCAGTCGAACAAGAAAAAACTCCATGAACATCAACTTGTTGCGCTCCGCGCGGAATTCTTGGAACCGCGCTGGCCCCCCCCCCAGCGGCGCCTCCAGCGCCGCCCCTGGCGCGCTCCGCGCGCCAGGGAGGGGGCCCAGTGCGGATCCAAGAAATCCGTGCGGAGCGCCAAAAGTTTACGTTTATGCCTTGTTTGTTATTCTAGGCATGGGCGAGGGGGGAAGGCGTTTTAGAAGGAGCCTGCTTCTTAGAAGGCGCGGGCCTTGTCTGTAGATATAGGGCCCGCGCCTTCTAAGTAGCGGCCTCCTTCTGAGAAGCCTTCCCCCCTCCCCCTTCAGCTCCCCGCGCACCGCCAAGCCTATCCGTGCCGTGCGCACGCCGCGCTGTGGCGGGGAGGTCTTGTCGCGTCGGCCTCCCCGCCCGCGTGCGTGCCTCCAGGCCGAGTGCCCCGACCTCCGGGCGCAGCAAAGAGCCACGACCACAGCCCAGCGGGTTCTTCTGGAGGGCCCTTCGGGATAGAGCCCAGGGACTTCGGCAGGAGTGCTCTGGTTTCGGCGGTGAGCGAGAGTGGGAAGCGAGAAGGAGGAGGCTTTCTCAGACGGCGGCGGGACTTTTCAGAAGCCCTCACGCCTTCTGGGAGGTTTTTCCGTGTCTTCGGGGAAGGCCTAGAACGCTTCTCAGACGGTCGGGTGACTTCCGAGCCTTCTGAGAAGGCCCGCCCCTGCTCACGTCCCCCGCGGGCTCGCCGCCAATGGTTCTGATTGTGGTGGATTGGGCCGCCTGGGACGTCCACTTCGACCACATTCAGTACCATGCGGGCCGATTATCCGTACAATGGCCGAAAGTCCGTCCAAACGACTCTCGCCTCGGCGCGGGCAGCACAGCGCCAGCGTCACTTGCACGCCGTGGCAAATTTCAGAGCGAGTCGTGAGGATGTCTCAGCAGAAACCGGTTTTGGGGGGGCTCAGATGGGGGGGCTGGACAACATGGGCGAATCAAATGCATGTTTGACGCAAGTCAAAATCGCAGCGAGGTCCCAGCAGATTGGGCCAGTTTGATTGCCGCCAGTTTCCGTCGAACGCGTGCGGAGCAAGGGTCGGACTGTAGTAATGTGTGCAGGCAGTTGCTTGTCTCGTGGAGGATGCTGCGGAGCTCATGCCCATCTACGTCGCGAATTCTTGTTATCCGTGTCGTGCCTCCGTCTACTCACTCCGACGAGACGCTGAGAGCAACACGCCCCAACGAGACACGACAGACCGACACAGCGAGAGCAACAACAGCAACAATGACGAGGACGCGATGATGCCGTAGGTCGACTACATCCAGCGAGCCACGCGCGCAGAGCAGTTCATGCAGCACCACCGCATTGAAAATTTGGAGATGATTCACAGGAAGAGGTTGTGGCGCACGGCATCCAAGGTAGCCAACCACGAGCCCACCAGATGGACGTGGCGAGCTTTCCACTGGCAACCAGGAGAGAACCCACGCCAACGTTGCCGGAGACGCCACGGCGGCCAGCGCAAACGTTGGGACGACGACCTCATCAGTTTCCTCCGAGAACACCGACCCGACCTGCAACCAGCGCCCACGCCAACCAATGAGCAATGCAAACCAAACGATCTTACCTGGATTCGCTCAGCTCAAGACACCTCCACGTGGTCGACACTCGAGCAAAAATACTTTAGCACATCGCCGACAGTCACGACCAGGACTTTCTCCCCTTCTCCGCCGTCATAACTTTTTGTGTGTTGCGCAGACTCATAACTTTTTGTGTGTCTCGCAGCTCCTTTGCATGTCTGCATGCCATGGCCTCACCCACCTGGTCTTTGCAGGCCCGTACAGACGTCCGATGTGGTGGTTCGTTGGTTCGTTCGTTCGCTCTGTCTACTCACCCCCTCCTCCCTCCTTCTCTATCTCACGATCAGAATCATCGCGATGTGACAGGCATAGCACGTGGGCAACACAAGGGAGCGTCGCCAAGGGATAGGTCACTTACCAGTTCGGGCCCAGATTGTGGGGATATCTCCAGCGGCTCGCTTATTTCAAGGATGTGGGCGCGTGTTTTTCAGGGCCGCGTGATGTTCCCGATGTCGCAACCATAGCTATCGGCCAGCACAAAAGGGGGAATGACCACGGGGTAGGACACTTGCCGCTGGCGCCTAGCATTCGGGGATATCTCACGTGAGACGCTGGCTTTTGAGGTGGGCGTGTTTTTTCCAGGCCGCCACGAAGGAAACGAATGCTCGGGCACCCCAGAGAGGGAGGGGGGCTCCAGAGGATTGGACGTTTGCCCGTTGGCGCCCAGATTGTGAGGACGTCCCTTACGAGCAGGTGTCCGTTAGAAGTTGTTTCTGAGGCCGTGGCAATCGCGGTGTACCAGTCATCACTTTCAGGCGCCACAGGGGGGAGGCCCCAGGGGTACATCACGGGTGCGTTCGCGACCAGATTGTGGGGATATCTCGATTGAAATTCTTGTTTGAGGAATGTCGACGCGTCTCTTTCCAGGGCCGCCCAGGGCCGCGCAGTTGCCGCGACGACGTAGCAGGCATACGACTTGGGCACTACAAGGGACAGCCCAGGGGGCAGGGCACTTGCGCGTCAGTGCCCAGATTGTGGGGATATCTTACGCGAAGCGCTGGTTGTTGAGAGGGAGACGTGTCCCTTTTCAGGGCCGTGTGATCATTGCGATGTCATGGCGGGTAGGGCACTTACCCATTGGCGCCCAGCTTTGGTGGATGCCTCCAGCGGAACCCCATGGCTTCCATGGTTTAATGGTTTTTATTATTGTTCAAGGTTGCATGGTCGTCGTGATGTAGCAGGCGTGGCACGTAAGACCGCATGGGGGGGCTGCTAGGGAATACATCACGGGCGCCGTCGCGTTCATATTGCGAGGATGTCTCGGCACACCCAATTTCTGAATGGGAGCAAGCGATTTTTTAAATCTGGGGCGGGCGATCAGAAAATAGTTTCGCGGGCTTTCGCGCCGCCGCAATAGCGGGAGGGCGGGGCAGGCAGACGGAGGGCGGACAATCCAAGGTTGTCCGGAAGCCCGGGGGGGGGGGGGGCGCGGGCTGACAATGCAGGGCGGGGGGGCGGGGGGTCAATTCAGAGCTGGGCAACCAAAAGCTGGGAAGGACTTCGCGGGCTGACGAATCGAATCCGCAGGGGCGGACAATTCGAGGCCGCGAGAGTTGATTTCGGCCAGCCCTTAATGGGAAGTCGAAATTTCTGATCCGCCAGTCCTGCGCGGAAGGCAGACATTTTGCGCCGCCTTCAGACAGCGACCTCCTTCCCTACCTCCTCTTCCGATTCTCCTCTCCCTCCGCCTCCTCCTCCTGCTCCTCCTCCTCCTCGTCCTTCCCCTCGCTGTTCTATCCCTTGTCACCTTCTCCCTGCTAATTATTGTTCCTCTACAGGTATTCAATATGAATAGTATCACCCCTCCGCCCATGATGCATTCTGGAAGATTGCCTGCACCCCTCCGCGCATTGTGTTTTTAGCACACAGGCTTGACGCGAATCCGTCTTTCATACTTGGTTTTCTATCGGAACGTGTTCGGCTCTTCCAACATGTTGTTCCCGCTGTGACGCTGGCCTTATTGTCGAGCTTCCGCTCGGTTCGAATCGTCCTGCGTGCTATGTTTTTACACAGAGGATTGGGGGAGTGCGTTGTTCATTTCAGCTGTTCAATCTGAACTTGTTCGGTTCTTCTGGCACGCTCCCGCGGGAGCGTTGGCTTCATTTTCAAGCTCCAACCGCTGTTTGCGAGGACCACAGTTGGGCGGGCCGTCCTCAGGTTGGTTCTTAATTCGGGGGGGAAACTGCATTGACATAAATTTTCGGCGGTCTTCCATGGATGTCCTGGATCTTCGCTGGGATTCCTTACAGTGAAGTGCCCGCTGGGATGCGCCGGGCGGTTAGCGACACCGCGGCCGCGCCGGTGGCGCCAAACTAGCTGGCGCCGACGCAGAGATGCACCAGCCAACGCCACGCATGCATCGCAATCGCCACCGCATTCGTTTGTAAACCAAGTTGCGGGTGGGTGGGCGGGGCGTTTGCAAGAGCATGTGGGTTGACACTTCACTGCGAACAGAAATTGATTGATGCTCTTCTCTGAGGGGAGAATATAGTCTACCACCCCCATGCCCCCCTGGTTTATCGGTCCACCTTGTCGTATCACGATTTGCACATTATGTCGCCCCATCGGCCATCATAGATACGAACCCATACCTCCCCAGCCCAACCGGCATCCGCCCTCCTCGCCATCCTCTGCAAACAATACTACGCGCGCACTTGTTGATAAACAAACAAATGTTGTCAAACATTGTTTGGAACAGTTAGGACGAAGTGCACACGCTCGTGTCGTCGCGCGCGCATGCTGAAATCCTTCAGACATCTTCGGTGTCGTAACGATTTCAAAATCATGTGCCCAAAGAACATCGAGAAACACAGGGTTTCGCAACGCAGATTTTTAACACAGATATGCTTACGCGCGCGCTCTTGCGAATCCTTAAGAAACCATCGATTTCCCGCATTTTCATAACATGCTACCAAGCTGGCCTCGCGCGCGCATGTCGAAATCGTCCGAGCGCGCTTGCGCGCGTGCTGAGGTGGCACGGTCCGTGTCAAAAAATACCGTGCGGGCCACTGTCGAACTCTTTCCAAATCCATCATCACCGACGCGAGGTCGCCGTCATCGTCGTCGGCGTGATCAGCATCGGCGCCGCCACTGGCTGCCCCGTCGTCGCTGTCAGCACCGTCGCCAGCATGGCTAGTATCATCATCGCGTCTACCATTGTCGACGTTGCCATGATACCGCGTTCGACCAAGTTGCCTACTCGAACTGAAGTGCCCGCCGGGAATGTGCCGAGCGGTCAGCACCACCGCATTCGCGTCGGTCGCGCCAAAAGCTGGCCGCTGCGCG